TCTCAATTTAAATAGATGGATAAATGGGAATTGGTAAGTATGGCTCAGCAGGCCTGTCCACCTAAATAGGCCATCAGCAACTTCTCCCGCTGTTTTTTCTAATCTCGTTTAAAAGTAGGATGTGTCAAAACCTAGAAAGCAAATCTTATCTTGGAATCAGCAATCTGAACTGTCAAATTTATTCATTTTTTTCCTTCTGCTGATTGCCAATATATTCATCCACCCTATGACTCAGCTCTGCAATCACACATTAAGAACAAACATTTCAGTAACCAGAACTCTTTTTTAGATGATCTTATCATAAAAAAATAGTTCTACCAATGTTTTCTGTTAATGGTATGAGACGAAGCGGGAATCCACCTTCAGAACAAGCAGCTTCATTCACAGCAAGGTTATATGCTAGGCATAAGGTTTTATGGGCATGAGGCTCAAACTTCTCAAGGAATGTAAACTTTCTGCAAGAAGTATTTGTCACTCAATATAGCCAAAGCAACTCGCCCTAATATTCATATTTCAACTATACTGCTGGCTTAAATTTTTTTATTTGAAACAATTATTCAAGAGAGCTGGCGAAGAAAAATATTTATAGGAAAATAATTTGACTATCAGCATAGTGACAGTGGAATGGCACAAGGAATGCAGATCCAACTTTTTTTTGCTTGTATAGAACTACATCATAACAGTCTCGAATACCACCACTCCTTCTGAACTAGGGAGATTAGGTAAAAAAAAATTTTTCACTCTGATTTCTTTTAATCTATATCAAAGTGGAAATATATTTTTAAACTATTTTTTAGAAGCTTTTCCTCTGAAAACATATTGGTCAAGAAGGATCCATGAATACCCAATTCACTGGCAAGTGGCACATGTTATTCTGTCAAAGAGCCCAGAAATGCCAATCTGTCGGTTCAAAGCAGAAACAGAATATTTTAGCTTTTAGTTATAATAAGCTAGATTTATAGAGCTTGTAACAGGGCAGGTAACTATCAGTCTTTAAATCTGAACTGACTGAATTACAGAGTTTCATCTCTTCGAATCAAATCAGGGAGAGGCAATTTCAAATTCTGTTGTTTCAGTTTTATATATTATATATTTAAAAACACATAGACACACACAAATAGGGGTCTGTTTGAGTGTTTAAGCATCCAGTGCCAAAAGATAAACAGACAAAGTAGTGATAATACAGAAATAAAAGGAACAGGTTTGTTGTTTATTCAACTCTTATTTTTGCAGTAAGTGTTAAAAATGGCATTGATTTTAAATCCTAATAAGAAATCATTCATGTCACACAACATTAATCTTGCCAAATCTCTCTCATCATTCTATTACTGCAATATTTGTAACTTTTGATCTGGAAACATCAAGTTACATAAGATTGTGGTTCTGCTCCCTCGCAAGGATGTGATTCTGTCAGAAAATGAACCACTGAAGCAGAAATTCTAACAAAACTGGAAATGACTTTCCTGGGAAGGAGAAAGTACCTCAGCTATTTTTTGTTTATTGTTTAAGTACCTCAGCTATTTGTAAGTGGAACCACAGTCAGTGTTTTGTTTTCTTGGGTAGAAAAATGGTATAATGCCAGGTTGAAAAAAAATATGGGCAGACTATTTTAATTGAAGCACTGCACACACTGGAGAAGGAGAGAAATGACATTTCAGTTATAACGCACCCTAGGGAGAAAAAAAGAAAAACCTCACATCACAAGTACCCCCCTTAAACAAAATGAGAATCAGTATTTCAATGATCATCATGCTACCTGCACACAAAAATAAAGTGACTGTATTTTAACTATTCTAGTTACGTACTGTAATTAAGTTAGAGGTACTGCAGAAAACAAAGAATGCAACTTTGTCTCTCCCAAGCTCCCTCCTCCTGCAACCCGCCAAGAAGAGAGATGGGAATTGCCCTCCCCCACCAGCTTAGTAAAATTGTTAGAGAAGGGCACGTCCCTTCCCACTCCCCTCCCCCCCCCAAAAAAACAGACAAGCAATTTTCCTCTCATCCACCCTTTTCTTTTCCCAGTAGCCTTCCTTTCTGCCATACCCTCTAAAATTAGTGAAAGTTAATTTCTCCTCCCCTCTCAGCTTCTCACCCCCTTTAAATTAAAAGGAAATCCGTGAAGACAACTTCCCCCTTTTCTCCTGCCATGGATTATTAAAGATAGCTCTCCCTCCCACCACTAGCCCTCCAAAAACCGTATCTGAGAAGCACCCTCTCCCCCCAAAAGATGATCTTCTTCCAACAGAACACACACACACACAAAGTACGGGTGAGCTACAGAAAGAGATCTCAGCAGGATCCCCTGTATGATCAGAGCACATGTTAGTGCTGTAGTCGGAGCTCCCCACAGCAGTGGCTTTTGGAGGGAATCAGGCTGAGGGGCAAAGAGGAAACAGGTTGTTTGAAAACACCCCTCACCTCAGCTCTACACAGACCTCCTGCCTCTTTTCTGGGAAGATCCATGGCAAACCCCTGAGATGAGCAAAAACACAGGTAATGACAAAACGCTTCCAGCAAATGCCCCCTCCATACATGCCCTCCCCGCTAGCCTCTCTCACAAACCCCAAATCTGCTGGAAGCAAACACCAGTCATTGCTTTGCACAAGCATTTGCTTCTCAATCACATTGTTAAGGATCATGGGAGCAGGAAATCCTAATGGCCCTGAACAGCCTGAGCTAGGAGGATTTATCCAGCAGCACATAAGAGGCTGGGATCGAAGAACCTAACTGGGGGACTTGCGACTGACACAAAATAGCAAACACCAGGACGTCCTTATCACAAGCATCATCACAATAGTGAGCCCAGCCCCACTCTTCTCAATCCTTGCTTTCTGGGGGGAAAAACAAACAAAACTGTATGGGTCAGCGGGATTTTTTTCCCCTCTATCATACACACAAAAATATATGCTACTCTGGTTTCTTCATCAGAGCCTATAAAGTGTTACAGGCTGACACGAAGGGGGAGGCGTCTGACTCTGACATGGCCAATGAAATAAATTCAATACAAACTACTGACTTAGGACCATCCTCCCACAAATTTCCCACCACCACCACCCAAAGAGAAGAATCTGCGTTTACTTTGGCTGATATCCTGCCCTCGACTTCTTGTTCCTTGGTCCAACGTGGGCACAACGTGCCCGGGTGCTACTGGCACACGTGACTGGTATTTTACAGGTGTATATGGTAGATCCTGGGTACTGCAGACACAGATGGTGTACACGTTGGAAACAGAACACTTTCCATGTGGGGGGGAGGGGCCATCCCAAAAGCAAACTAATTTATTGGGGCCAGATACGCAGAAAAATATGAGACTTGGGTTGGCAAGGGCATGTTAATTTGTCCTCCACAATTTCTTCAACCCATGATCCAAAGCACCATAACATGCGATGAGCTGCAACACCACAGCACCACAGCCAACTTCAACTTCAACTTGTCTTTTGCTTTTGTCATTTTGTGTCACAACCTTAACTCTATTTTAAAAGTTGACTGCTAAAAACTCATTTGAAAAAGACAGAGAGGCAGGTGTGATGAAGGTGTTAAATCGTCATCGTAATTAATAAAACTTTCCTGAAAGCACAGGAGCTGAGCAATCTGCAACCCAAAGACTGGAAAGTTTTGGCATCAAATATTTCGGCAGATCTATTTTGAACGTATGAATAAAATATTTTAAAATGTGCTCATAATCCAGCCAATAAACTGGAAAAGACAGTAACAAATACATATTTGTAATCATTTGCAAAATATGTACCATTTCTTATGTGATTGACACCATAATGGTTTTCAACCCAAGATAGTCCAGTGTTATCCTGTAAATAAATAGCTCCGCATGTAACCTTTACGACATTTCTTTTAGAAGCACTGCACATATGTTAACAGTTCCCACTTTCAAAGTCAAATATCGCAGCAATTTTATACCATTAATAAATTTTTAACAAAATACATAAATAGCACTAAGAAATGTGGCTAAGGAGCCAGTGTGTTCTATTATGTAATCACGTTTCATTTTTTCGATAGCCAAGTTGTTTAGAATTTAAAACAGAAATCTTAAAAAAAAAATCAGATCCCCACCCCAAATCTCTTCAAAAATGCCAAACTAGTTGTGAGGGTGTTGGAGGGGCATGAGGGAGTGAAGGGGGGCAGGGGTTTAAATATAATTGCCAAGAAAGGGATTTGTCTCCCAAATTGTAGTCTGGCAGATTTTTAAAAAAGCTGGGAAATCCACCCTTTGGAAAACGTGGAACACAACCACCACTCTAACACAGATCCAAATGTAAACACACACACACACACACTGATGGGGAGAGGGGCGTAGTGGTTAGAAAGAGGGGATTGTGGCCATATATAATGGCACCCTCTTTTTGCTGAGATTACTGATTACTAAATAAATCAACAACATCAATAATAAATGATTCATAGAGCTTGCAACCTGGGCAAGTCGCTGGCAGCCTTTCTGGGAGGACCTGACACCCTCGCCGACCCAGACGCGTTGGAGTGGAGGGGGGGAAAAGAGGTAACCCTCCCAAACACACCCAAGAACCCACCTAAGTCTTACAGGCTCGGGGTCCCGGCTACACAGCAGGGATCCAGCCCAGCATCTCCCTCCGACGCTGGGCTCTGCTGAGCCATGAGCTCTGTCTGACTGAACTAAGGCTGCAAACAGGGCACAAGGACCGGGGAGCTGGAGCGGCAGCTCGATGTGTCTGCGAGAGGCTAGAGGGAAACCAAGCCATGCAAAGGCTGGGAGAAGCCAGCCAGAGGGGCGCTTTTCACAATGCATGGAAAGTGACCGCGGGGAGGGAGGGGTGTTTAAAGTCTCTTGCTGCACGAAAAGGGGTTTTCTTGGGGGGGGGGGGGAGAGGAATCGCGACAGATTCAGAGAGCTCTGGGTGTTCCCCAAACCCCGAGTACGTGTGTGGCGGGTGGGGGGGAGGGAGACGAGCGAGAGCTGGTGGAGGAGGACGAGAGACACATGCACTTTTCACAGCAACACGCCAGCTTACCATTTCTGCAGGCGGCAATGCCACTTCTAGGTAGGGCTCCTCCGCGCGATCCCAAACGGGGCAACTACAGCCAGGCACCGGAGCTCCTCCTCCGGCAGCTCCACACCACCGCCACCGCCAAGGCTGGTCCAGCTTCTTCCCAGGCAGAAGTCTCCCTGGTAGGGAGTACTGCCCCAAATAGGCAGCTGCAATCCAAAGGCTTTTATTTAAAGCTCCCCCTCCCCCTGCCTGCCTCGCTCGCTCCCTTACACACACATACACAGAGAGAGGAAGAGAGCCACACACAGGTTACATGAATGGGAGGCAGGAACCAATCCTACAATGCCTGGGAATGACAAGCACACATGCATTCAAAGCTGGTCTGCACCACTCAGGCGAAAAAGGCGGGGGAGGCAGGCTCCGCTCAGGTGATGCTGCCAATTGCCATCTCGGAGTGGCACCGCCACAGCGTCCCTGTTTCCACTCCCACTCCGATTTGGGGTTTATTCCTCCCTGGCAATATTCCGGGGGTTGTGTCCCTGCAGCGTCGAGCAGTGTAATTAACAAACGAACACCGTGATTCCTTCTTCCCAGCCGCTAGTTTTCTGCTACTTGTCTCATGTCTCGCCTTTTGTGTTATTTGCTCGGAGATCACAAATAGAAACACCGTCAAGCGATCATTTTTTTTATTTAGGCATCTATAATTATATTGCTCTTTGTCTCTTTTACAAATGTGACGGGGGGGGGTGGACTGCAAACATTCAGTTGCATAACTCAAAAAAGATTATTTCTGAAGGATGAGGAAAAAATAACAGGATCAGGTGTTGCATTTTTTAAAAACATCCTCAGTCTGGATTTTCTTTTTTAAACTTCACTTCAGTGGCAGGAAATCAAAGTGAACACTTTGCCACTCAATATTCTCTTAAGAGAGGAAGGAGGGTTATGTGATTAAGATACTGCATAGGGCCTCAGATCTGGGTTTAATTTTCGGCCCTGCCACTGACATCCTGTGTGACCTTGGGCAAGTCACTTAGAACTACCGCTCTAGCAAATTCACCGTTCATTTTGGTCACTTTCATGGTCCTAGGACTTAAAAAATTATAAATGTCATGATGTCAGCTATTTAAATCTGAAATTGCATGGTGTTGTAATTGTAGGGATCCTGACCCAAAAAAGAATTGTTGGGGAGTAGGAGGGATCGCAAGGTTATTGTAGGGGAGGTCGCAGTACTGGTACCCTTATCTCTGTGCTGATGCTGGTGGCGGCTCTGCCTTCAGAGCTGGGCAGTTGGAGAGCTGGGCAGTTGGAGAGCGGTGAAGGCAGAGCTGCCGCTAGCAGCAGCACAGAAGTAAGGATGGCATAATATGGTATTACCACGCTTACTTCTGCACTGCTGCATCCTTTTGGGTCAGGACCCCCCAATTTGAGAAATGCTGGTCTCCCCATGAAATTTGTATAGTATAGGGTAAAAGCACAACAGAGATCAGATTTCACAGGGGGAGACCAGATTTCACAGTCCGTGATGTGTTTTTCATGGCCATGGAAGGGTCTTACCTATAATCTCTCTAAGCCTTGAATCACTGCTTGTAAAGTGGGTACAATACTGCTTCCTTTCACCCAACCCTTTGTCTATTTAGAATCCAAGTGCCTTGAGACAAGGGCTGTCTATACCAAGTATTTGCACAGGGCTTAATGCAATGGGGCTCCAATCTTGGCTGGGGCATCTAGATGCTACTTTAACACAAATAAAATATATACTAATAGTAGTTTACTATGCCACAAGAGAATATACATGTAATTGTGAAATTTAATTGTAAAAGTTTAATCATTCCACGTTGCCTCCTACACTTGGACTCGTCATTTTCTCATTCATGAAACAACTGTCCTTGCCCGTGTCAAGTCTCTCCTCAAAATTCAAAACCTTTCAGTAATCACCAGGGAATGGTTTCTGCAACATCTCAGACTGGAAGCCTCATGCACGGTGCTCCATACGTCTAAAATGTTTCATCTGTGTGCATATTACATGGAAGATCCTCGGGGCAGGGACTGCAGCTTCCTGTATCTTTACATCATGCTGAGGTCATTTACAACACTCAGTACTGCTTGCACAAAAGATGTGGTGCAAAACAACGGATAGATTCTATGGAAGTCCCACGTGCAGGATTGAGCCCTAAAACTGTACTGTCTGAAGACTATTACTAAGACTGCAATACATAATGCAACAATTCAGTGTACACTGGAACTGGCTTTTCACATGATACCTGTAAACTATGTAGCGGCAAGACTGCTGCATCCTGTTTTCCTTTCTCTCCAGTTCTCATCCTAACATTTCCAACCCTCAGGAAGAGCAAAACGGTTCTGTATGTTAATCCAAACCCAGAAAACAAAGCAAAAGGACACACTGCAAATCAGTATCATCATAAACCAGCAGGACGCTCACTGCTATAGGGAGCAAAGATCTATTATGCACAAGAGCTGCTGTTATTAATGCTTTTTAAAATTGTATATATTAAAAATGAACTATATTTTCATTGACGTTATCGATTCTGGAATACATGCAAACCAGGAACCCAGATTAAGGGAAAGGTAATTTGGGTCTTTAGAAGGGTAAATTTTAATAGGAAAATGTATGTATCTACCAGAATATGCCTCATCCAAATTCGATGGTAATTGTATAAGCCTTTCAAAAAATCGTACAGTATGCAAGCTTCCAAAATTTCTGAACAAGAAACATTTCCATTTAAATGCCAAGAGGCAATTTCCCCCTTCTTGTTCAATACTAAATCAGTCACATGAGCAGCTTGCATTTGATTTTAGAAAGGAAATGGAACATCTTCACTTGCAATTGCATACAACTTTTGCTTTTCCTTGTTCTTTTAGTTTGTAATACTTGCCCCGAGTTTTGAAGTTCTTCCATTTCATCAAAACGTTTACTGCAGCTATTTTATTTTTGAATAAATTTAAAAAAAATATTAATAGAAACTAGTGCGCCCGAGTGCACGGTAGTGCATTTAGTGTTTAGACTCTGGCTGATAAATTCAAATTTAACAGATCAGCATTCTTTACATGATTGGCCTTTCCTTGTTAACTGAACTAGACAATGATGCTTTTGGAAAATTGAACAATAGTAAATTTAATGGGAAATCTACTTTGCTTAGGAAAATCCCCTGCTTCAAATCAGAACAAATTACTGTGTTTGAAGAAGTGTGCTGCATGCAGATTTCCAGAATGTTTTTATGAGGCTCTTCATTTAAAAATGCCTGTGTTCACCAGCACAGACAGTCATATCATGGTACATGTTCTGTAATGTGGTAAACATGCAGCACTGCAATGCTCTATGCAAGATGCAGGGTATGGAAACACAGTGGTTTTGCAGAATTTGTAAAGAGGCTACATCTGGGGTACAAGAAGGTGATTAAAAAGACTAATGCATTAGCCTATTAGACCTTCTGCTCCAGGGGACAAGGAGATCAAGTCCTGGAGCTGCTGTTCAGATTATTACTTAATGGTCCTGATGTCAGGTTGTGTTTCCACGCTGACATTTGCTCCCAGAAAACAATGAAAACACAGATCATAAAGTTCTCATTCATCAAGCAAAAATAGCAACATCTGCTGTGGTCAAAGGTGTCTTGCTGGAGAAGTTCAGCAGCAGAGGTGTCTTTAGCTGATTAAGTATGCCCTTACCAATAGGTGCCACACCAGCTGACAGCCATTGCTAAAGCATGTATTTTTCAGGAGGGTAATCAAAAGGCATAGATGCATGTATTTTAAATCAGTGGTAGTGTAACACTGCACAGACCCTATCCAAACCCTCACCTTTTATAGAACATAAAAAGTCCATACCCATTGTTGATACTAAAATTGTCCCCGTTCTTTCTTTATATTTTTAAAGAAGAAGTTATATCCTTCATATTTTGAATTGTTTTATTCATACAGTCCTCTCCTTCAGTCCTTAAAACTTGTGCGGTCTGTGCAATCCAACTTTAGAAATACACCATTCTTCTCCCTTTCCACCACAGGAGCAAACAATGTTCCTAACAAACAGATTTTGCAAACACTTAGTCTTATGAGAGTAATCTTTTGTGAATAATTAAAGGCAATTGGACTATTCAACATAAGGGTTTGCAGGATTGGATAGTAAAGGTTTCATCCTGAAGTCCCTACTTGGGTGAGTCATCCTGTTAAAGTTAATGGGGTGACCCATGTGAATAAGGCACATAGGATCAGGCTCCGAGGACCCTATGGGACTATTCACTGAGCAAAACATTAAAGATGTGCATGTGTCTGTGAAGGGCAGAGATCCTAATCCCACAACATGTCATGCATGGACAGCCCTCTCCATCCACGTGAATGAAGATCAGGACCTGAATTGGTAGCGAAGTCTTTGGATCTGATGTAATCAAGAGTCAAAGCCCACTCAGTGTCTGACTCCCCACAAATAGGACCGGTTACATTAGGATGCAGAACACAGTGATATTTTATGGCCAAATCCTGCACTCTTGACTCCTGTCCAGATTGGGTTTTTAAGCAAAAACCCACAAAAAGGGGGATCATAGGGAGAGCTCCCTCAAACCCTTCCATTAGGGCGAGTGGGATTTCCCCATTGCTATGTGAAGAAGCGAACGGTTCTGTGCTCTGGTGCTTCCATCCTGATTGTAAGGCCCCTGGCATCTCTCCCTAGCTCAACTCATCTCTCCCTAGTTCTGCTCAAATTGCTAGGTGTTCCTCCACTGGTGGCTTTGTGATGACGGTTCCACTGACTGGAAGGGAGGGGGGGTATTATTTCTGGGATTTTATCAGCTGATTTCCTGCCAGATACTAGAGGATGGGGAATGATGCACTTCCCTCATGACCTGACATTCACAGTTCTCCACTGGATCCAAGACATGGGGAGGACAGGACTGACTAAGGGCATCAGCATTTGGCCCCAAAATAGCAGGTCTGTCACAACAGCTTGAGCTACAACACCATGCCCTATGCCTCTCTTTCCTTGATTACAAAGCGCCAATTTCTGCAGTCATGCCATAAAGCCCAATCCAATGGCCTCTGAAATCAATGCACATGAGATGGAGTGGAAGATAGGAACAGCCCCTTAATCCTTACCTAGGCAAAGCTCCTACTGAAGTCAGCTGGAGTTTTGCCTTGGTAAGCATCACAGGATTCGGCCCACATGCTTGCAAACCTTTTCATTTGTGTATCACAGAATAAGCTTACAGTACAGTGCCAATAAAACAAAACTATATACGGTAAGCACAGTAAAATCAAGAGCACTGTTAGAACCATATACAAACAGTAGCTGAGCCCTACAGCTGATATCCAGTTCTATAATTCTGTCAGGGACCATGCACTCTTACTGGTAATATGTACAAGATAATTATTTATAGGCAATTAGATGTAAGGTCCTGTAAGTGTATAGGTCTCTATTCTCCCTCGCCTGGGCCTATTATTTTCTCTTTCCTTCTGAATTATTTATAAT